AGATTACAGAGAAAAGTTCACAAAGGGTCAGTATATATAACTAACCCCCGTGGTCAGGATATTATGGCATTGAATGTTACACAGTATTTCAAATAAATTCTTTGTTTAGTTGTGTACATATAGGTGACTTATTCACAACTGCGTGAGTACAGGAGTGTGAGGCAGTATGTCTGGCCGCACACTTTGTTATTCACATTTGCGTGAGAGGTATTCAAGCGCTTTGTGTTTGGTTCTATGCAGGGGAAATGGTATAGCTACTTCGTGCAAAAAAAAATAGTGGCTACAACCTTAATATGTCAGCTATCTTGCCATTAGAGGGATCAACTAGTGCCTGTTTGCACTTGTCTACTTGCGTCAAATTCATCAATAAGTTCCTTCCCAATTACAGTTTTAAGGGTTCATTTTGACAGACCCAGATTGTATTCAACAATGTCTTCGTTAGATGCGAGTTTGGCGAGGGCATCAACTCTGTCATGTTTTTTGAAGCCTATGTGAGAGGGGATCCACAACAGTTTGACCTTGACAACTTAATGACGTGTGAAAGGACTTGGACTAACACAGCGTTTGGAAGATATCTAAACTTGCCAGACATATCTAAACCGAACCGATTCTTTGTATGCAAAACTTTCGGACCACGTGAAGATTAGGCACCCCATCTTTTTTTCCACCTAATGATTAAACCTTAACTCTAACCTAACCTAACCTTAACTCTAACCTAACCTAACCTAACCTTAACTCTAACCTAACCTAACCTAACCTTAACTCTAACCTAACCTAACCTAACCTAACCTTAACTCCAACCTAACCTAACCTAACCTTAACTCCAACCTAACCTAACCTTAACTCAAACCTAACCTAACCTTAACTCCAACCTAACCTAACCTTAACTCTAACCTAACCTAACACAGTAAAATTGGTGATTCACGTATGATGGAGGGAGGAATGTTGATGTTTAGGCTATGGAGGGAATGAAAGGAGGGATGTTTAGGCTTTGGAGGGAGGGATGTTTTGGCTATGGAGGGAGGGATGTTTTGGCTATGGAGGGAGGGATGTTTTGGCTATGGAGGGAGGGATGTTTTGGCTATGGAGGGAGGGATTTTTTGGCTATGGAAGGTGGGATGTTTTGGCTGGAGGTGGGATAGCTTTGGCTATGGAGGGACGGATGTGTGAGCTATGGAGGGAGGATGGTGTTTTGGCTCTGGAGGGAGGGATGTAGGCGGCTATGGAAGGTGGGATGTTTTTGGCTATGGAGGGAGGGATGTTTGTATGGAGGGAGGGATGTTTGGCTATGGAGGGAGGGATGTTTTGGCTATGGAGGGAGGGATGTGAGCTATGGAGGAGGATGTGCTTGAAGCTATGGAGGGGAGGATGTTTTGGCTATGGAGGGAGGGATGTGGAGGCTGTGGAGGGGGAGGATGTTTTGGCTGTGGAGGGGAGAGGGATGTTTTGGCTATGGAGGGGAGAGGGGATGTGTAGGCTATGGAGGGAGGATGTTTTGGCTATGGAGGAGGATGTTTTGGCTATGGAGAGAGGGATGTTTGGCTATGGAGGGAGGGATGTTTGGCTATGGAGGAGGAGGGATGTTTTGGCTATGGAGGGGAGGATGTTTGGCTATGGAGAGGAGGGATCTTTTGGCTGGAGGGAGGATCTTTTGGCTATGGAGGGAGGGGATGTTTTGGCTATGGAGGGAGGGATGTTTTGGCTGTGGAGGGTGGGATGTTTTGGTTATGGAGAGGGATGTGTGATATGGAGGGAGGGATGTTTTTTTTGGCTATGGAGGGAGGGATGTTTTGGCTATGGAGGGTGGGATGTTTTGGTTATGGAGGGAGGATGTTTTGGCTATGGAGGAGGGATGTGAGCTATGGAGGGAGGGATGTTTGGCTGGAGGAGGAGGATGTGTAGGCTATGGAGGGAGGGATGTTTGCAGCTGTGGAGGGGAGGGATGTTTGGCTATGGAGGGTGGGATGTTTTGGTTATGGAGGGGGAGGGATGTTTGGCTATGGAGGGAGGGATGTTTTGGCTATGGAGGAAGGGATGTTTGGCTGTGGGGAGGGAGGGATGTTTTTGGCGCTGTGGGGAGGGAGGGATGTTTTGGCTATGGAGGGAGGGATGTTTTGGCTATGGAGGGAGGGATGTTTTGGCTATGAAGGGAGGGATGTTTAGGCTATGGTGGTAGGGATGTTTTGGCTATGGAGGGTGGGATGTTTTGGCTATGGAGGGAGGGATGTTTTGGCTATGGAGGGAGGGATGTGTAGGCTATGGAAGGTGGGATGTTTTGGCTATGGAGGAAGGGATGTTTAGGCTATGAAGGGAGGGATGTTTTGGCTATGAAGGGAGGGATGTTTTGGCTATGGAGGGAGGGATGTTTTGGCTATGGAGGGAGGGATGTGTAGGCTATGGAAGGAATGGATGGAGGAGACATCAAGGAAGTGGTCACAGCCAAACATGCATAAGCTACTGTTGTTATTATTGATTGTGAGACGAAACATTCACCCGATCAAACTCGTAAAGTCTGCCCGCTGTGCTATATGTGTTGGGGGAGTGACGGTGGTGTGGGAGTGACGGTGGTGGTGTGGGAGTGACGGTGGTGTAGGAGTGACGGTGGTGTGGGGGGTGACGGTGGTGGTGTAGGAGTGACGGTGGTGTGGGGTGACGGTGGTGGGGAGTGACGGTGTGGGGGTGGGGAGTGACGGTAGGAGGACGGTGGTGTGGGGGGTGACAGTGGTGGTGGGAGGTGACGGTGGTGTAGGAGTGATTTGTGGTGTGGGAGGATTTGCAGGGTGGGGGTGACAGTGGTAGTGTGGGAGGACGGTGGTGTAGGGGTGACGGTGGTGGTGTGGGGAGGACGGTGGTGGTGGGGAGGACGGTGGTGTGGGAGTGGCGATGGTGTGGGGGTGACGGTGGTAGGCGATGTGGTGGTGGGAGTGACGGTGGTGGGGTGACGGTGGTGGTGTAGGAGGACGGTGGTGTAGGAGTGATTGCAGTGGGGGTGACGGTGGGTGGGGATGACGGTAGGTGTAGGGAGTGGGGACGGTGGTGTAGGAGTGACGGTGGTGTGGGGGGTGACGGTGGTGGTGTAGGAGTGACGGTGGTGTGGTGGCGGTGGTATTGTATGGGTAACGTCCACTTAACAATCCTCACTTCCGAAGATTATATTCCACCTTTATATGTAACCTTCTATTGTGGTCACTGGCAAGAACAAATCCACGACTCCTAGCTCCCGTTGCGTGTTGTCTGAGAAACAAATCTTGGGGGCGAGATCTGGGCATTCCTCTTCTACAGCCTGAGGTAAGAGTCAACTAGTCAGCTCTTCTTTGGGTTAAAATCTCCTAGCTGTCGTGATACGGTTTGAAGCACTTGTTAGTTAATTTGTTTTCTTTTGTATGATTCAGTCACGACAAGTTGGTTCGATGGAGCCTAAAGAGACTATTTTATTTAGTTCATTAATGATAGAGGCTCTGTGTTTGTGTTTATACAGTGGTGCTATCATTTTCTCCTTCTCTTGGTAGCCTAGGCCTATGTTAATGGTAGATGATACGGGTAATCCTACTTCTCCTCCTCCTCCTCTTGGTAGCCTAGGCCTATCTGAATGGTGAATAAAACGGTTAATACTTCTCCTCTTCCTCCTCCTAATCCTCTTGCTAGCCTAGGCCTATCTGAACGGTGGATGAAATGGCTATTTGACAAATAAGATTTTCCTTACACCACAGTATAAAAATCTAGATATAAATGATAGAGACAAACACAGGAGCAGGTAGAACAACTGTAATAATGAGAAACTATAGTAAACTGGCTAGAGAAAGAAGAGGAGTGGCAAAAAAAAAAACTGATGAAACTGAACAAGACAAAATAACCTGTCACTAGTACCAGAATATAATTAATAATCACAGAAGGAGGAGAATCAACTCATTATACAATAACCAAGTATAATTGATTCTTGTAAATTAAAACTGTCAATTAAACCCCGTCGATACAAATTTCTCTTGTGAGCCAGTGAAACAAGTTGGATACTATAGCAGTTCTTTGTTTGTTCACTTCGATACTTCGTTGAATATTGATGACTTCAGTATATCTAGTTGAGCCCGGATACAGTACTGTCATTCTGTTACTTTCCTTCATTTCCCTTACCCACATTTCCTTTATCCTGAACCAATCCTGTCTCTCCTAATACTCCTCTTAGTACTTGTAATCCTAATCCTTACCCCTCCCCCACTCCTTAACACAAGCAATAGACCCTATGACTGGAGCTACAGACGTTAAGTTAAGGCACTTGGTCTCACTTATCTCAACACAGCATCCTGTTTGTACCTGCCAGGTGTTTAATGACACACCTGTCCGGATGTTAATTAATGTGTTTACAAAAATGACGGGCGAGGATTTTTAAACTGGCAGTAAAGAATTTTTAATTCGTTAGATTTTGTTAATACTCGACTCTGATTATTTTGTAACATCATTGTGCACTGCTAGCGACCTACCTTGTCTTCACGTTGCATTTGTGCTGAGAACATAATAATTTTTATCTTGTGAATTATTTGTATACTAAAGATACACCTTTGTGACGTTTATGTAAATGATGGATTGAAACAGAAATTGTAGACAAACCTGAAAAAGTCCTAAATCGACCTTCACCTGGGAGACGATTACTCCACATCGTAACGCTTGGAGGACCGATGGCATTCCGAGGTAGACAAGCGCCAACGCCGGAAAGACGCTGTTGCCGCCCCTCCCGCAGTAGATGTAGTTCTCCACACGTGCAATATCTGTGGACGACACTGCCGGTCCCGTATCGGCCTCTTTAGTCACCTCAGAGCTCACCAACGAAGGTGACATCCTTAATAACTCACATCATTGTATCATAGCTGGATGATCGTGACAGCAATGTAGTGAGTCACGCGTGTCAAAAAATGTTAACAGGAAGATTTATCACGTAATATTTCAACAGTTTTCATCAACACTAAACATAAACTTTCTTCTAGGTAAAGGTTATTATTCACACTATATTGTTCTTATAATATTGTATTCATAATTGAAGCTAAATACCTCGTTACAAATATATTTAAAAAATCCTTTTGTGTCCAAACTTTATCTTCCAACGTGTGACTGTGACTGAGGGAAGGTCATGATGAAGGGGATCACGTTTATGTGAGGTCACCAAATGTTCTCAAAAAATAATCACGTTTTCTTTTCTTTTGTAATTGGTGGATGTGGGACAGTAGAAACAGACCAATCAGTGAACACCATCGTAACTCTAGAAACAGACCAATCAATGAACACCATTGCCCCGTGACTCTAGAAACAGACCAATCAGTGAACACCATTGCCCCGTGACTGTAGTGACTGTAGAAACGGACCAATCAGTGAACACCATTGCCCCGTGACTGTAGAAACGGACCAATCAGTGAACACCATTGCCCCCCCATATATACATGGACTCCTATGGTGGATCTCAGTTCTTAACTATACCTTGCCCTAAATCTCCCTGTTCACTTCAGAGCTACGGCTTTCTTATCTCGGTGTTCTGACTGACTGGATCTCAGTGTTGGGGTTGGTATGGTTAGTAGCATGCAATTGGAGGACAACACTCAGTAGGGAAACTACCCACACCTACGCTGCCAATCATCTTACAGTACGGGTCGCCGCCGAGTGTATCCTCACACCTGAAACACAAAAAAATGATAAAAACGAACGACAAAATATTTAACGCAAAAGTTTTACAAATAAAGTTCAAAAGAGTAAATTACATTGTATAAAAGGTTACGAATCTATTATATATCTCTACACTTCTACCAGTCTTGTGTGAAGAGGATGAAAACTTAAAAGAAAATGCTAAGATAATTAATGTAATTTATTGATTCAAAGACAGTCCCTCACCTCAAACGGTACGTGTTATTTATCTGTTAATACAATGGTGTCATGATCGTTGGTGATTTAACACACCCTAATACTACTTCGGGGGAGGCAGGGGGGGGTAGGGTTACATCAGCGTTAGGTTAAATTAAGTAGAGTTAGGTTAGATTAAGTGTTAGGTTAAGCTAGCATTAGAGAATTTAGTTCTTATGTGAAGAAGAAATGACAAATATAACTCTAGAAATTAATCTAGAATAAACAGAACAACATAGAAATTAATCTAGAATAAACAGAACAACATAGAAATTAATCTAGAATAAACAGAACAACATAGAAATTAATCTAGAATAAACAGAACAACATAGAAATTAATCTAGAATAAACAGAACAACATAGAAATTAATCTAGAATAAACAGAACAACATAGAAATTAATCTAGAATAAACAGAACAACATAGAAATTAATCTAGAATAAACAGAACAACATAGAATTTCTCCCACAGTCAGCGAATGGAAAAACAGAGGAAGACACTGACCCATGACAAGACAACTTACGATGTTTCAGTGATCCTAAGGTCAGCGCCACATGTCCTGCGCACACACTGGTTAGGAGGCTGCCACGATGCTCCTACTTGATATATCTTGCCTGCTTCATGACACCACGCCCGTTTATCTGAAGGAGAAGCCACAGATTGACGACCCTCCTCTGGGCATTAAAGCTGGAGTGAGTGAGTAGTAGTAAGAGGAGGAAAAGTAGGAGTAGGAGGAAGGGAAGTAATGGGAGTAGGAGTAGGTGGAGACGCTAGTGATATAGATAGGCAAACACATAAGAAATCGTCGCGTGTGAGTCAATGGGGAGAGACAAGGAACTCTGGAACTACTGTAATGAACGGAATGCATGGAGAGAAAAATATAGAACTTACAGGTGTGGATGGAGAGAACATAGGAGTGGAGGGAGAGAACATGTAGGTGTGGAGGGAGAGAACATAGGAGTGGAGGGAGAGAACATAGGAGTGGATGGAGAGAACATAGGAGTGGAGGGAGAGAACATAGGAGTGGAGGGAGAGAACATAGGAGTGGATGGAGAGAACATGGATGGAGAGGGGGGAACCCTTAGAGGTGGAGGGGAGAGAAGTGTGGATGGAGAGGGAGCATGGGGTGGAGGGGGAGGAGGGAGTGGGGGGGAGAGAACATAGGAGGGAGGGAGAGAACATATAGATAGGAGTAGGGTAGATGGAGAGAACATAGAGAGAGGGAGGGTGGAGAGAAATATGGGGAGTAGAGGGAGAGAAATGGGGAGTAGAGGGAGAGTAATATGGAGGGAGAGAGCTTATAGTGATGGAGAGAAACATATAGAGAACATAGTAGAGGGAGAGAACATGGGGTGGAGGGAGAGGAGGAGGAGAGGGAGCATGGGAGTGAGTGGAGGGAGACATAGAGTGGAGGGGGAGAGAACATGGGGAGGGAGAGAAACATAGGGATAGGAGGGGGAGGGAGAGAACATAATATAGAGACATGGGAGTGGAGGAGAGAACATAGGAGTGGAGGGAGAGAACATAGTAGTGGGGGAGAGAACATGGGAGTGGAGGGAGAGAACATGGGAGTGGAGGGAGAGAACATAGTGAAGTAGAGGGGAGAGAACATAGGAGTGGAGGGAGAGAACATGGGAGTGGAGGGAGAGAACATGAGGGAGAGAGTAGAGGTGGAGGAGAGAACATGGGAGTAGATGGAGAGAACATAGTGGAGGGAGAGAACATAGGAGGAGGGAGAGAACATAGGAGTGGAGGGAGGAAGAGAACATAGGAGTGGAGGGAGAGGAGACATAGGGTGGAGGGAGAGAACATGGGGTAGGAGAGAACATAGGAGTGGGGAGAGAGAAATGGGGGTGGGGGGAGAGGAGACACAGGGTGGAGGGGGAGAGAACATAGGAGTGGGGGAGAGAACATAGGAGTAGATGGAGAGAACTTGGGGTGGAGGGAGAGTGGGGAGTGGGGGGAGAGAACATAGGGTAGATGGAGAGAACATGGGGTGGAGGAGAGAACATGGGGAGAGAGAACATAGGAGGAGAGAGGGCTTATAGGGTATGGGGAGATGGGAGAGAACATAGAGGTGGAGGAGAGAACATAGGAGTGGAGGGAGAGAACATAGGAGTAGATGGAGAGAGAACATAGGAGTGGGGGAGAGAACATAGGAACAGATGGAGAGGAACATAGGGAGTAGGGGAGAGAACATAGGAGGGAGGGAGAGAACAACATGGGGAGAGAGGGGAGAGAGAGGGAGAGAACAGTAGAGGGAGTGGGGGAAGAATATAGATGGAGACATGGGGAGTGGAGGAGAGAAATATAGGAGTAGATGGGAGAGAATATAGGGAGGGAGGGGGAGAGAACATAGGAGTAGATGGAGAGAACATAGGAGGGAGGGGAGAGGCATAGGAGTAGATGGGAGAGAGAATAGGAGTAGAGGGAGAGAATATAGGGGGAGTAGATGGAGAGAACATAGGAGTGGAGGGGGAGAGAACATAGGGAGATGGAGAGAACATAGGGAGAGATGGAGAGGAGACATAGGAGGATGGAGAGAATATAGGAGGGAGGGAGAGGGAGAAGATAGGGAGTCTGGATAGGGAGCTATAGAGGGAGAGAACAGGGAGGAGGAGAGAGAGACATAGTAGGTGGAGGGGGAGAGAACATAGGAGGAGGAGAGAACATAGGAGGAGAGGGAGAAATATAGGAGTAGAGAGAACATAGGGAGGTAGATGGAGAGGAACATAGAATTGGAGGAGAGAACATAGATGGAGAGAGAACATATAGGAGTGGAGGGAGAGAACATAGGAGTGGATGGAGAGAGAGAGGGTGGAGGGGAGTAGGAGACATAGAGGGAGAGAAATATAGAGGTAGAGGGAGAGGGGAGGGATGGAGAAGAACATAGGAGTGGAGGGAGAGAACATGGGGTGGATGGAGAAGCATAGGGAGAACATGGGAGGAGAGAACATAGGGGGAGGGGAGAGAACATAGGAGTAGGGAGAGAACATGGGAGTGGGGGGGAGGGAGAGAATATGGGAGGGAGGGGAGATCAGTAGAGGGAGAGAAATATAGGAGGAGGGAGGAGAGAAATAGGGGAGTGGAGGGAGAGAGAACATAGGAGTGGAGGAGAGGAGTGGGGAGAGAACATAGGAGTGGAGGGGAGAGAACATAGGGTGGAGGGAGAGAACATAGGAGTAGATGGAGAGAATATAGAGTAGAGGGAGAGAAATATAGGGAGTAGATGGAGAGAAATATAGGAGGGAGGAGAGGAAGAGTAGGAGAGATGGAGAGAAATATAGGAGTGGAGGGAGAGAATATAGGAAAGAGATGGAGAGAATATAGGAGGGAGGAGAGAAATATAGGAGTAGATGGAGAGAAATATAGGAGTAGAGGGAGAGAAACATAGGAGTAGATGGAGAGAACATAGGAGGAGGAGAGAACATAGGAGTAGATGGAGAGAAATATAGTATATAAGAGAACATAGGAGAGATGGAGAGAATACAGGGAGTGAGGAGAGAACATAGGAGTAGGAGGAGAGAAATATAGGAGTGGGAGGAGAGAAATATAGGAGGGGATGGAGAGAACAGGGAGGGGAGGGAGAGAATATAGAGGGAAGGGAGAGAACATAGGAGTAGAGGGAGAGAAATATAGGGAGTAGAGATGGAGAGAACAGGGAGTGAGGGGAGAGAAATATAGGGAGTAGATGGAGAGAACATAGGGAGGAGGGAGAGAAATATAGGAGTGGATGGAGAAATATAGGAGGGAGGGAGAGAACATAGGGAGGGATGGAGAGAAATATAGGGAGTAGAGGGAGAGAAATATAGGGAGGGATGGAGAGAAATATAGGAGTGGAGGGAGAGAACATAGGAGGATGGAGAGAACATAGGAGAGAGGGGGGTAGGGTCATAGGAGTAGAGGGAGAGAAATATAGAGAGGGAGAGAAACATAGGAGAGAGGGAGAAACATAGAGAGAGGGAGAGACTGGTAGAGGGAGGGAGAGGAAACATAGAGTGGAGGGAGAGAACATAGGAGTGGAGGGAGAGAACATAAGAGTAGAGGGAGAGAACATAGGAGTGGAGGGAGAGAACATAGGAGTGGAGGGAGAGAACATAGGAGTGGAGGGAGAGAACATAGGAGTGGAGGGAGAGACAAGGAGAAGCAAAACTTAGTAAGACTCATAAATGAAAAATAATGGCCATAAAATTCATCTTAATATTAATAAAATTGAAAATAATAATTACAGTAAAAATAATGGTCATATTTATCACAATAACATTAACAAATACAGCTTTCGATCTAAAATGAAATACCGTTAATGTCCGTTTAAAGTACACTCATTTAGCGTACACTTATTTAACATACACCCGTTTAACGTACACTTGGTTTTCAGGAAGGCGTCATTTACGTTAAGCAGACACTGGTTGTATGTCTAGACTGTATAGGATACGACCATTACCATAATAACAAAGACGACTTACATGAACAGTCCACCAGGGAGATGGTCAGTAGGAGGGCGAGAAGTATCACTTTTGTTGTCATGGCGAGAGAGAGGAGTGGTGTCCCCGGTCTTGTTTGGACAGATGCTGAGGAGACGCTTGTTCTTCCACACTTCACAGCTCCTGTCTGCTGCTCGAGGTGGTAAGATACTTCTAATGTACTCTCATAACCCCCTCCACTCTTCGACCTCCAGGTATATAAACCCCCCATCCTGGACCCCTACCGAGATAAACCATCCTGACCCCCTTCCTCACGAGATAAACCCCCCATCTCCCCCCTCTCCCCACCGAGATTAACTCCCATCCTGCCCCTCTCAGTCGTTAAATTTATTGAAACCACTGACACTCTCATCACTGATTCTCTATCTTCACTACTTTCCCTTGACACCCTCGACTTAAATATGTATAATAAGGTTTACAGTAACTCGTATTTTGGAGCCAACTGCCAGATGTCGCTATTGTTTCTGAGGTTGATGATACAGCAGTAGGTACAGTGTTCGAAATGCGGGTGGGATGGGGGTGGTCTACTACAACTTTGTTCCTATATATAGAGTTAAACCTTTACCGTAAGTTCTCGCGGTGACTTATATACGCTTGGATATAGCAAGATGTTATCTATAAGAGACGAAGTGGGGAGAATGTGGTTGCCTCAAATGGTGTGTCGGTTAAAGCTCAGGTGTTGATAACAATTCTAACTTGACGCTCCACATTTCAATTGCTCTGGCTGCATCTGTCAGTGAAAATGATTGGTGTGTTTTCAAGTGTTTCTGCAATTGTAAGAGAACATCGTTTGTAGCATCAATGTCATGACAGTAGCAGAACTTACCTCATTGATTGTCTAGTTATTTACAGATACCCTGTATTAAACGTGGATTACTTCTGTTTTCCTTTTATTTTCAATTAAACGGAGATTTTGTTATTTTACAACTTTTAATTAAACTATAAACACCAATAATACTAACATTGTTGACCATATAATCTGAATGAGAGAAACTCGTTTAAACTCACTAAACTGTACTGTACAAGTTCCTGGAAAGTGTTGGAAAAAGTACAACTTTTAATTCCGTACAAAGACTGAGGCGGCCCAAGGTGTGTGCAATGGTGCCGAAAATAAAAGTAAAATGTCCGATCATTGTATTTTCAGCTTCCTAATTAGGGTCTCACAGAGAACGTGCAACAAAGTCCTAATTAGTGAAAAATGCACAGTAGGGGGGAAGTCGAGACAAGGGGGAGGGAGAGGAGAGGTCGACGGCAACTCACCTGCCACCGTGCGATACGCATCCCAGAATACAGCAGTGAGTTATAAATAATATATACTGGGTTATGCAGTGTGTAAGAGAGAGAGTTAGTAATATGATTAAATAAATAAATAAATAGCAGGGGCAGATTCGGGAGGGAGCGGGGGGGGGGGACCTGGGGGTCCGGACCCTCTCATTTTCATCAGAAAATTTCAATACTTTTTCTTAAATGCCTTATTGTACTCAGGCGTTTTTGTTTATTAAAAAGTATTTACTATTGATCTCAGAATGTCTCTTAATATCTAGTGCACATATCCTGAAAATGCCCATGATATTGGTCAAATTTAAAAATCAATCCGGGGGAGGCTGCCCAAAATCTGGTGGCCTCGCTGTGCTCGCCATGTTCCCCAACCCACACCTTATTGATATTCCTGGATCCACCCCTGGATAGAAACAAGTCACACAATTCTGTGCACAGTGGACAGGACGCTGGCATATCCTATTTTTGTAATCCTGTGCAGTGTTTGCTCACCAACATATGTATGGCGTCCCTGCTAATTATATTCAGGACGTAAACATGTTTTTTTTTAGAAAGTTTTAACATTTACAGCTTAAAGGATATACGAAAGTGGTGAAATGAGGCAAAAATCTTTAAAAAACTATACTTACCTACAGTACCTACCTGATTTACCTAATGGATAAATGGCCAACCCAACAGGCTATTTTGAAGCCCAGTACAGTTTTTGCTTTTCTATAAATGTTCCTCTATTCTGTTCAAAAGGTGTTTTAACATATAACTACAGTGTGTGTGTGGGTGTGTGTAGTAGTTGGACAGAGCCTGTTGATACTGTGTCTGTATCCTATAGTCATGTGAAGTTGTAAGCTTAATGTTTATCTATCCCGTTAATACCGGAGCCTACTGTAGTTTCGCCAAAAATCGGGCATCAAAGCCAACCAAAAACAAGATTTTACACCACAAACGCAGCATCTACAGCGAGCAAGAGATGGATTTTCATACAGTATAAAAATCTGGTTCAGAGACTGTAGATATTGCATACAAAACCTCTCGCCGCGGAGGCATATACAGTATACACTAGTACAGTGTGAGTCTCACTCTTGACCTTCTGTAGTAAAGTAGAATTTCTGTTTCAGTGCTTTAGAGACTATGTTGTTATCCCCACTCACTGTGTCAACCAATCAACAATGTATCAGCTTACAAGCTGGAGTGCCAAGAGGATTTCTGTGATGTTTGTTAGTGTTACCGCTGTACCACCACCTTTATTTTGGCTTTCAATTAGTCTTAGCTTGCTGGTCCTATCAAGATCTTCATGCAGTTATCCTGTTTTTAGCATACTTGAGTTCCACTATTAACTATACACAGGTCATTTGTAGTAAATTCTATATCTTTTTATTTATCAAATGTGACTTCATAGGAGTTTAGTTCTACTGTATTCAGATTACAGGATCTCAAAGATTTTATCCTTAAAGAAATTTGGGTAAAGAATTTTTCATCTTGGTGAAGATTATGGTTGAATTTAGCCTCAGTGTTAAAGAAGCTCTGACACTGATACACAAGATTCAAAACGTGACCAGAATGCACAACAAATATGAGAGCCAAAAGTACTGGTATAATTCATATATGAGGAAAAATAGGAGATACAAACAATAAATTTGTATTTCACATTTATTTTGAAGGTAGAGTATTTACCCAGGGCATACACATGCCCTGGCATGGTAATTCTGAGATACTGAGGTTGAAAGAATGATGGGAAAGAGAACGAGGGCAACTGTGAGGAGAGAGAGTAAAAGAAAGCTTGCTAGAGAGAGAGAGAGATGGTAGAGAATCATGGGAGAGGTTTGAGTACTGAAGGGAAAGAAAAATAAACAACAGCCCTAACTAAAGAGTGGTATGTGAGAGGATGATGCCAGGGGGATGATGAATGAAGGGTCATGTGAAGGATGGGTGATGAGGACTTGGGGAGGAAAATGATTATGAGGGTATGTCAAAAGATAACCTGTAAGACTGTGAAGAGGGGGTGAATACCAAGGTGTGTATGGGTTATAACTTAAAGAGGAACTGGGGAGGGTGGAGGAACAAAACAAGAGAAAGACATACCAAAGCCAAAGAAATGTATATCTTGTTAAGTCACTTTCATTGTACCCTTTTAGAAAACTGAGATATGTGAAGGAGGGAGAACAGAGTAATGAGACACTGACATGATTCTATATAAATTATACAAATAGTAATGAAATTCACTGCTGCCAACTCAAACTGAATTTGGCACCATTACATTTAGGATATTTTAATGAATGGGAAAACAACAGCAGTGTAGAATTCAATAAATAAACAATTATAGAATCAATATGACTTGTAATTTACCATAGAAATTTCTCACATTCCATAATAAACCTGCCTTCCAGTGGTAGTGAACTGATAGGCAACCTGATCAGAAGTTTTCCAGAACTGACTTTAGGGAAAGATGAATATACAGTACAGATGATTCATAATCCCTATAATGTGGAAAAGGAGATAATGTAATGAAGCTTAATAAACACAGTGCTATACATAATTAGCTATGAACAGGAGACGAAAATATCTGGAATACAATATATACAGGGTATATCCAAACCTACTCACACTCTAAAATTTACATAATATGTACAATAATAGAATTTTAAAACTGGTACAGTTTGTATAATTTACTCCAGTTGGACCATCCATAATTATAGTTTTTGGTCTATCACCATCCAGTAAATTTACATAAGCAATTTAAAACCGGAACAAAGTCCTTCCATCCAAATTTTATCAGCTCCTAAGTTACCTAACTTAATCCTGTTCCATTTAAAATCTGTAACTCATATGAACCACTTCTTCAAGTATGCTAAAAAAAATTTAACTGTTAATTTTCCATAACTGATACAAAAAGATCCTTTACTGCAGAGTATGTCAAGGTAACTGTGCGCACACATTAATTAGTTTAATTCATTATTTAAATAAGAGTTATATTTACTGCCATTCACATAATAAAACTCCTATAGGAGATGCATTCATCTACTCTGCTGACCATACAGCCCACAAATATATCTACACATGACCTATCTGGGCTCAGCATAGGGAGGATAACATAAAACTGCTGTCTGACTATCCTGTAATGATCACTATTAGAATTTATTTGTTGTCATAATAACTGTGTGTACTGCCCAGAGAACTTGCACTAGCTGCTTCAACTGATGTAATAGTGTACTGTACACTCTAAGACCAAGTTACAAAAATACCATGGGAGTATGGGGAATATGGATCCAAGAGTCAGATAGACAATTCAGAGTTACCACCCCTATCGGAGCTGCTTAACCTGGACGCCTCATCCACAGCAAAACTGTTCAGAACCTCAGTATCTTACACAGGTACACAGCAGATCTCATGCAACCAAACAATGATCACTGACAAAAATCAGTATATTAAAGTGACACGTCATAACTTTAGTTCAGCAGAAATCACCTTAAAAATGCAGATATCGGACACCAGCTCATAATATATTTCCACACAGCAAATTTTGAACATAAGTTGTTTGTACATTCAATTTCATCATCAAAACAATGACAAATCTTTTGGACATATGTTCTCCCCAATGTGACTTTATTATGGAAACAATAAATGTCACATTTGTTTCATTCAGCTGCCAAAGTGAGCCTGAAAATAAAGCAGCCACCTTGTTTACTCGCCCAATGATTTGTGCGAATAATCCCCTCATAAACAACAGATGTCCAAGCACAATACTTGATGAGATGCTCAAATGCTCCTCATGAACCCTCTTTGCCACAATAATATATACTGAAAGTCTTACTATCTTTGATTGCATTTTTTCCTACCATTAATGATCAACACAAAACAATATTTATCGGCATGACCAGCATTACCCATACAGTAATTCGATTAATTTTCATCATAGATTTGTTTTTAATTGTACAGAGTATTCCATTTCTTTTTCTTCTTAAAAGTCACCATCGTTTATCATTAATACAGACTAAGATGGACCGACCACTCCAGGTGTAGGCTCTCCCGCAACCCCATTAAACACTATAAAAGTGAGTGGTATCTCATTAATCTTTATCAGTTCCTTGATAATGAACCTACAGGGGTATGAACATTTTGAGGTTATGCCCGAATCCTGAAACATTATTTGATGCAAAGACAACACTGGAGTGAACACCTATGTATAGTGAGAAGTTAGTCCCTTCCAGTAGGTACTGTACTATGAATGATAAGAAAAGAATGTACTTGGGATGGTATTTACAATGTTAAAATTGGAGGTATTATGAATAATAAATACAGTGTCAGCACTGACCACTGACAATAGTTGCCTTCATCATATACTAGCAGTTCTGGTTACCCAATAACCTACAAGCCATAATGTTTACTTTTACCAGTTCAAGTAACGTTTCAGAATTTGAGATTATGCACTCCAGACTAGAGAATACAAGTTCAGGACAAAACACAACCAAATTGCTAGTTGTAAACTTAACAAATGACTGCACCATTAGTCACATACACAACCATAATAAGCTTTTTAAATTACAATAATGTACAAATGCCAACTATCAACATAATGGAATGTTTGGTTTCACCATGAAAGAAAGTGTATGTCTTATATACTTATAATATACAAATAACAATAAAGATCAACATTAAGAAAGAAATTTATTGAGCACATTAACAGTAAATTTTCATATGGAATGCATAACTAAATAAAATACAGCACATAAATCATAAGATATTATCTGGAGAACAATAACATCTGTCAATGGCCACAATTGCAAGATCTTATACGTATTTTAAAAGTTTTCAGAACTTGATGTAAGTTCTCATTGTGAATACAGTATCTTTAATGGTTGAATTTTACTTCACAATCCTGTCTGATTATGAACAGAATGCTTCATCAGCCATCCATATATAAGTTGTGCAACTGTGCTCATCAGGTTGTCTGAGGAACAAGGAGGTATGTGCGTTTTCTGATATTCCCTTAGTTCCTGAACAGTAAGAGATATTACATATGTAAGAATTGAACATTTCATATTATCTGGGAACACTCAGAGGTGTCACATCTGGAGATAGTCTGGTTAATATCATAAGAGGTTCTTGCATGCAAAAGGAAAACGCTTCCAAACAAAACTGTCTTGTAATCTTATACGTACAGGGATTCTTGATGGTCACTTGAATATTCAGAGTACTGTACACATAAAATATTCTGGTAGCCACAAGTTGTTGTTATGCATATGATGCTCACTACTTATATTACTGAGTAGTTCTCAATATTGATTTTATGGTATAGGAATATTCAAATTCAAATATTAAAGATCTTGTTAACCGCTATGTCAGAGTATAACTCCATGAACACACCATCATTTTCGATCCACTAAAACTTTCAGAGATTATATACTGTATCTCACGTATAATTATGTATTCACCAGTCACGAGGAGAACTTTGTCCCACTGACTCTATATTAGGGTTAGGGCTGTTTCCTGCCCCAACGCAGGTGTTGTCTGGTAGAATCACAGGAGCTACTGCCTTCACACTGATGGCATCTCCGTCCTCTTCGGAGTCCGAGGTATCACTGTCGTGGGATGGACCTGCACCATTCTGAAACAAGACAAAGCATATGTCAATCTTCATCACTAAAATTAATGGAATCAAACTTCCAAGAATTAGCCAATAAACAAGTGATACTGTACAGTACTGCATCACAGTTATTATGCTACATGCAAACTAAATTCTAGTTGTATTCCACTGGAACATACTGCCACTGCTTCAGTTAACTGTACTTTCTGCCTCACATCCTGAAAGAATTATTGTACAGTCACAAACAGTAATTGCTACTCCCCCTAGCAGCCGGAGCCATGGTAAGTGAAGTCCGGGCGATCGGGCAAACCCTTCTCTCTCTCCCCCTCCTCTGTTTAAAGTCTAAACGCTGCTCGGTAGTTTTGGAATTACTTATCGTGGTTGGCTCTTTCTACTAAGGGGCGGAGGGGTAGCAATTACTACTTCTGACAATACAGAATACAATAAATCTCTAATACCGAACACTCTTGGGTTAAAGTAGGTGCTCTCCTGAGAGATGCTCGGGGTCTGGCCTGTTACTCACCTCGCCACACGAGAGATAATTGTACATAATGAGTCATAGCAAGCTTGCTATTTGAGATAAAAAGGTGGGATATGTTGCATTAACAATGTAAATAAATTATCTACAAACAGTTTTATGTGAGTAATCATGATAAATAATTAAATCTATACGTAGGTAAGCGCAAGTACAAGGCATCAAGAGGCACCACACTATCACCACATGGTGCAATCTTCTTGCACTTTTTATGTTCCCCCCCCCCCCCCCCCGCCAGCAACACAAGGCATGGTTCAAAACTCTCACAACACTGTTATGAAAAAATTAAATCATTGTGATGAATGAGGAATTAGCACAAGCTGTGAGAAATGTGGGTCAAGGTTATGTCCTAATTTGTTGAAACACAAAAGGAGACTGGTGCGGTGACCTAACCTTGGAGGGCAGTCTACATAGTTGCCAGATCGCGCCAAAGTTGTCAAATGTGCATCTTGTGAACCTAGTGTTCATACGCAAACATAAAATTATTTATTTTAAATTTTATTTCATATGCAAATTTGCATATGAAAACCCGAGTGATAATTTATATCATAGGCAATTTTGTGTACTGTATATGAAAACCCCAAGAGAGTTAATACAGAAGCTTCTTTCAAACCAGTACCAACTGTTTAGTGTCTGAGGCAAACTCTCCTGTACAGTGAATCATCAGTAAATTTGATAGTTTCTTACCATTAGCCTAGATGGATAGCGGCCAACTCCTTCATGAATTATTGCTCTTCGGCCATAATACACTCCTCTGACAGAAGGCCCTGGCTCATCTTCTGACACGCCTCCCTCACTACTCTGTGTACTCTGTGTAGATCGTGTCATACACACAGGACGATGGTTCTTACTTCTTGGTACGGGACGACGCATGAAACTATAAAGAAAATGTAAATAAACATAAACAAAATATGTACAATACATTGTCAACAGTTCCGGCAACAACTGTTCACATTACGGTGACTCTCCAGCCATCTTGCAAAAATCAATTTAATACTATAGTTCTTTAGTATAGCCTGTACAGTATTAGCAATATATTTGAGCCACCCATACTTAATGACATATTAACTTTTAACTGTATAAAAGCATGATAAAGCTTGAGTACAACCCATTTATATGTATGTGTAACTCATGAGTCTACTGCATCACCCTTGGTCTCACTATTATGTTCTCTTATCAGAGGAATAAACACCTTTTTCACTTAACCCTTGCAAGTCCTTCCCACTACACTGAAGGACTGATCAGAATCAATAGCAATCAAATGCATTCTGATGTGATGTCCCCTTTCCACAGCAATAGCCAAATATTTGTACTTATTTTACTTACCATCTTCGCTTTATGACTTGATAATTGCCATCTAGTGACCCATCATCACAGTCATCGTCATCTTCTTCTTCTTCTGATGCAGAAACTTCATGACCAACAGAATCATGACTAGAGTCTAGTTCACTGGAGGCAACCATGTCAGAATTTCGGTTAAGAATGTCTTGATCAATACTGGAGTGTCTCTCCTCTTCATCTGCTTCATTTGTGGTATTTGAGGACTGGCTCTGTGACATCCCCTCTAACTTTGGTTGCTTAATATCCATCGGTGTTGATTCAGAAAACTCATTTTCTGGAATAGGCTGATCAAATCTCATTAGAGGTCCATGTCTGACTCTGTAACCATTTGGTAAGGCTTTTTTATCTGCAAGGACTCTTTCAATTGCATCCCACTTATCACCAAGCTGGTGAAGAATATCTACATCATCCTCATTGTTGTTAAGAATTTTAAGAGTTTCCTCAATAGTGAATTCTTGTCGGCCCTCACTGAGTCTAGCTACAACCGGATCAGCTATTGGGAAGTTTTTGTTAGAATCATTGGAGTCTGTTGAAATGAAGCGTCGATACTGTTGTCTGGGGCAGTGCTCACAACACGGACTCTGTTCTGGGATTGTGTTGCCATTAGGACTGGTTTCAAGAGCAGTGTGGCCACAGGGCGGGTTACTACCTCCACTTGTATCAGTCTCTTCCTGTTGAAGAGGAAGGGTGGAGGGTTTGTTTGGCCCTGGAGTCTTTACAGGAGATGTATCTGTTTCACTCATGTCCATGTGGTCTGTCTGGGTTCCTGAGTCTACCAGTATAGGAACTCTTTCTTGACTTGGACTTAAACTGTAACCCTGTGAAAGTAAGACTTGTATCAAATATCTGTTTTGACCCAATTTATTTTAGGGCAATATGTCAAATATCATAATGCTTACATACATACTGTATACAATTATATTTTAAAATTAGGTAAAATTTACTGACACATTCATGAATATACAATGACCCATATGAATATACAGTACTGTACTGTACCTGTAGTATCACACTTATACAATACAGTATTTCTAAATATTGATACATCATAGTTACAAAAAATAACATAAAACTGTACATTTGTAAAGTCAATATACCGTACTAACCCTTCTGTCTGGCACAACACAATGCTTGGGACTAGTTGCAGAGCTTACATATGCAACAACACCCCCATGACTCTTGTTGCGCTGATGACGGGAACGCCGTCGACTTGACCCCGATCCTCCACGAACAAAGTCAGGTTCTTGTTGACCTGACTCTGTTGCTAATCCTCCAGTTTGAGATGGAGATGATATTTTGGTATGATTTTGAGAAACTTGGAGGGAGACTGGGCGAGTTGTGGAAAGTGGTAAGTTATTTGTTCCTATTTCTGTGTACAAGGGTTTTTTCGATCGATTCTGTTGGGAAAGTTTGGTCATGTTATTAAAATACAAATTACATAGCTACTTGTACTGTATATGAAACTAACTTCAGGTCTGCAACGCTTGATGATCTGACATAAATTATCTACTGCATAAGTTCTTTTATCAAGAGTCTTCCTGTTCTCCTTTTCATTTCTTGTTTTCTTTCTCCTACTTTGCCAGTTACATCAGCTTCGAAAGTTAAATACACTAATACTGTATATTTGTTCAATACTAACCATGGCATTAAGATATTTAAATATAAATCTGTACACAACAGTCTGAGCCAAAAGTTTAGTCACTAAAGGGCTAATGTCCTAACATTTACCGTAGAGGATATTGTTTCACCCCCTCCATACTGTAGCTCCGTCCACCATAAATTGAGCTGTACATCTGGCAGTGAAAAAAGGCAGGGCTTTGACAAGGCGAGCATATTTCACTGGCATCAGTTACCATCTGGATAACAATAACTTTCTTTTATCCTCTTCACCACTAATTGTTTTGTTAAGAGTAAAGATGATCTCAGTCAAGGTGTGGATTAAGAAACGGATGTCATACAGACAGTAATAGAACAGTTCTCCCTCTACTCTACTGAAGAAGCTAAAATATCTGTATATGAACCCTCCACCCACATTGCCAAGATGGTTAAAATCACACTTACCGACGATAACTTGGAAGGAGAGGGTACACCAGGTAGAGCCTCTGGACTAGTTGGGTTAGAGGAGGTAAGCTGACTTCCTTTACGTGCCTGGAGACGCTCTTGGGCCTTAATCAATGGTCGTACTATCCTTCGTTTACCTTTGTGGATCTGATTAGCGTGTTCCCGCCTGGAAGAGGACCTACAGCTTTATACTAACTGCTAAGCTTTCATATCTAACTCTTAAAATATTCATCAGCCATATAATCTAAAGACCAACTAATAAACCTGTTATTTTAGTCATGAAAATACTTTATAGTCTATAACACTGTTGCAAAATAATATTCCATACATATACTTTTACACCCATGTTCAATTATTTTACCATCCACAGCCCCAGTAAGTTATCAATATGCACATTAAATAGTTCCACTTGATATATGACTACAGTACTAACTTTAATGATGTCTTCTATGATCAAGGACCTCACTGAGTTTTATATTTATCTTTTTATATGGCCCATGTACTTTATAATCTTCATGTGATAAGTACTTACTTCAGTAATTCCTTTTCCCGTTGTTCAAGTTGTAACATTGCTGCCGATAATTCGAGATATAAATCGTTAGCAATTACCAGCTTCCGTTCCCAGTGTTCACGGATATCCTGCAAACACGAGAGAAATATGTTGAAGTTAAGAATACTGTTTTAGTACTACAGTTGAATCTCATTAATCCAGACTTCCTTGAACTGGAAAATCCTGTGGTTAAGATAGATACTCTCGGGAAATAATGCATGATCGTGTTGAGAGAGTGATGTCACCGCATTATAGTACTGGATTGTGTTAGGAAAATTAGGAACTCAAAGTAAATGTTCAGGAAATATAATAAATTACAAAAACTTGATTGACACACTTTAAATGTAATAAAGACATACAGTAAAGGTAAAGAATGCTGTATTATTGAGATAGAATATGGGAATACAGTCCTGAGTACATACAAAGTGTCTTATGCCCAATAGTTTTTAAAGAACACCCAAACCGGACCTCATAACTGTCACGGTTTTATGAAGTTGGAACAAAATAATGGCTGATAAATGTTGAAATGAAATAGTATGATTATTCCAACCTGTGCGTGCTTGAGTTCATCGTGACGCCGTTTTACTAAGTCCTCTTCAATACGCGGAATGTGTGACCCTCGAGAATTCATTGACGCCATCTGTTGCCTAATTTCTGCTTTCCACGACATCTGAAGAAGAAATATTTTATGAACTAACATATATACCATAAATCTTCATACTACTGACTCCTACCTAAACTGTTATATACACACTTAAAAAAATGACACATCTTAAGAAAATTCAGTATAAATTTTTCTATCTTTCTTTCATCGCCTAATGTCTTTTACTCCTTTTATATGGTGCTTCATCATCATCACCAACTGTAAGCTTACTGGGTAGTCAGTGAACAGGAACATTTGGCTTCTACTAAAAGTTTAAATTGTGTCACAGATTAAAAACATTTACAAATATATTACAGTATTGTACATTTACTGAATAAGATGTTATACTGTACAGCACTGTAATAATAGAAGGTAAAAAATGGAGAGGGTTTACAATGATGGATGTACAATTATATCGTAACTTTTTAACCACAACGACCGGTGATGACTGTTGTGATGAAGCATAATTGCCTTAATTGGGAATGGGGGTAATATTAAGAGTTGTATTAATTAGTGTCTGCAATTAAATTTGTATTAATTATTAAAGTTATTGTATTTCTAAATTTATGAACAAAAAGGGTCACATGGATTTCTGGTTGAATAGCTGATGTTAGCTATACAATTTTGGTCATAAATTTCTATGGTTGTATATGTATGTATATATTTAGCTTTGGTTAATACAGTATTGTTGCATTTCTGTTGTCAATACATTGTTTGATTGTGGGATATGAAATTTTGTTTTTATCATGCGAAATCATGATATTTGTAATTAAGGGGAATTCATACGTGGCACAACATTGTCAAGTCGTTTTGTGTGTGTTTGGACCGACGACAGTTCGTTCGCTCAGAGACGCCATACAGGCCACTCACTATCTTGATCACCACCCACTGCCATCAACAACCACCCTGGAGCGATTCATCAGGGAGTATAATGTAGTACAGGTTCTTATTTGTTTCAAGTATTTATAGCCCCCTAGATTCCACAACTTACTTGAATAGCTGTCAACTTAATGTTTTTTTCATCTTGTCATAGAAATCTTTATTCCGCGGCTCATGAAACAACAGTAAATATAACAGCACAGTACTATACTTGATGAAAGGAAAATGCTCACCTGAGTTTTAAAATATGTTTCTGGAGGTGTACTGCGAATCTCTACTGCTGCAATATCAAGATGCATTAAGATGTACTTAAAAGATGGTCTGTTTCTGGGTTTACTGTTCCAGCACATCTGAACAATTAATCTGAAGCCATCAGGGCAAGTGGTGGGGATGGGGAGATGTAGAGAGTTGGACCCCACACCGTAGATGATGGCTGAGTTGTCCACATCCCGGTAAGGAATCTCACAAGTCAACAGCTCCCATAACACTACACCAAAAGACCTATAAGAAATAAGAACATATATTTAGCAATTCGATAAAAAAAATTCCACATGATGTTAAATGCAAATAAATTCCCATTTTTTTTTTATATTGTATCTATAATTATGCACAAACTTGCATACAGGACAACAGGTACGTACTATATATGAATGCTTTACTGATTAGGGTACTGCAGCCTCTCACATTATCTCTCTGTCATTAAACATATGACAATTTATGAACATATGATTTATATGTCTCACAAAGATATCTAATACCTGTACTGTACAATACTGTATTATGAATACATATACAGTGTATAAATTGCTTTATCAGTGGCATTTGATTGTTTTTCATGAATCACATGTGTTCATTACACCTTATTATAAGGTATGTGATTACAGAACTTACCAAATGTCAACTTTTTCATTACAAGGTTCATTTCGAATAACTTCCGGTGCCATCCATGCCAATGTTCCAGCAAAACTCATTCTTGTGCTGACATCATTCCACTCTCGGCATGTTCCAAAATCACTTATTTTAACCTCTTGGTTACTTCCAATGAGTACACTGTAAAGTGGAGAAAAACTATACATTAAGCAGAATACAGAAAGCATTATTTCTTGTAATATAGAGTACAGTATACTACTGTATATATACAGTACTGTATATTGTCTTTATTCAATAAATCCCTGATTCCATTTTTTTTAAATAACACTAAAATATTGGGCACCATAAATAAACTTCTTCAAATCATAAAATACTGTACATCACACAGCTGTGCTAAAAAACCTTAGCCTATTGTTGTAGATCATGGTTATATTGGTGTGTAGCTGCCTTAAAATATAGTAAAGAAAAGCCTTACATGACCAAGAGAGCCTCTGTAACGAGGAGACTTGGCCCAAGTAACCCATGCAGTGGGTTGTGAATGCAGATCATTTTCCACCACCATGGCATTTCATGATTACAGTATGTATTCATATATTGTATTGTATATCACTTTAATTAAATCTAGATTAAACTCCTATAGGGTTAAAAAAGGTAAACAAGAATTTAAGGTAAATCTTACTTGGGGCTTTTGAGATCCCTGTGAATGATCTTGTGCTGATGTAAGTAGTTCATTCCTGAAGCAATCTCCTTGGCCCAGTTAGCAACTCTCTCTGGAGGGATGTCACGTCCATCTTTGAGGAGATTGTAGAGTGGACCATAGGGGCAATACTCCATCACAATGCAGTAGCAGGGGGCAGCTGTACATACTCCCCTGAGAAAATGTATTAAAATAAATTGGATGCACTGAACACACCATACAATTATTTCATTCTTCAAGATGTGCCATGTTTTATTCGGTGTGATGGCATACCTGAAGTCAAGAAACATTTGGAAGTCATGGTTACATCTATAGGCTGTACTGTGTAAGTGAGCAAGCATGTACACCACTATGCTTGATCACTATGTACTACTGGGTATACCTAAACACCTGTCAGTATACTGCAGCTCTTTTATTCTTACTATTTCAATTGACATAACTTGAGAAATCTAGGCCTGTACAGTACATGAAATTACTTTACTTTTAATAAAACAATAAGTGCAGTTTTGTCAAGTGGTAATACTGAGATAACACTCACAGTATACAACCAAGATAATATAAGTGAACAGTACAAAATAAATTCTACATGAAGAACATATAGAGCATTATTTGTTGTAGTGTTAATGTAAGTCGAGGGTATAAGAGTGCAGCACTGTACTGTATGGGCTTGGGGATCACGAGAAACTGAGGTGACTGTGATGTCAGAACCTGCTAACTAATTATCAGAGTTTGCCTTGTCTCATTCAGCTTATGAGGAACATTTCAGACTGATCTCCTGCTGCCCAACTCCTACTGACCCTCCCCCCCCCCTTCTCCACACTGTTCTCTCTTCAGTGTTAGATAGCACAAAGCAACATCAACTGAATCATTGTTGATAATTCCATACATCCTCTCTCCAGTAAAAGAAATAAAAGCTACAGCACTCACATGAACTGTACAATGTTGGGATGATTTAGTTTCCTTAGGTGTGTTATGTCTGTTTCCTTCTGTTCGCGCACCTTCTTGATGGCTACCCAGGTTCCTTTCAGCTGGCCACGGAACACTGCGCCCTGTGCACCAGAGCCAAGCCACTGCAGGTTGGACACTTCCTCAAAAGGAATCTCCCAGTTATCAGCTGTAAGTCAAACAAAGGGTTTAGTACATTACAGCAATCATGTGGATTAGAAACAAGATAATTTTACAAGTGCAATTAACAGTTGAAATTGGAAAAATGCAAAGATGTCTGGCATACTGTATTACACAAGACTCAGGAGAAGTCAAGTGAAGAACGAATGAGGCAAGACAGAATCTAAAGGCAACCAAAGATACCGGTAATAAGAAAGATGACAGCAAAGGTCTTGGATCCCCCCATCACCAAATACAGAGAAAAGGTCCATAACTTCCAGAATAAAAATCACTTTCGAACTTAACTGCATAAAGTATATGGCAAAAAATATTACATCATAATGACAAAACATGAATAACTTACTCTGTGCCTGCTTCTCGCTGAGTGCCGCCTTGCCGATGATGGTCCACACTGGCCTCAGGCAGCCAATGATGCCCTCGAACCAGTTGACCCTCTGACCGTCCCTATATCTGACCTGGACACCTGTCGGTGAGTCAGGACTGGTGTCCTCACAGCCCTCTTCCTGCTGGAGTCGTTGGGGTGGTTCCATAGGTGTTGACCGCTGGGAATGGAGCTGCAAGTTGTGGAGTTCCTCTTCCATCCGCAGCATACTGTTGGAGAAATTAAGAATCGTCCAGTAACAGCGAAGAAAAAATGTATGAATGATTAATAAGTCATCTCCCTTAATTTTAACAGAATGGCTCCAGCTAAGTCTCCTCCAAGCATTTTTGTCTTAACACAGCTTCAGACACTCTTCCCTGCTAACTTAACCTTCTCTACAACTTTATCATTCTCCATTTTATGTATTTTAATAAAATTTGCAGCCAAGAAGATTCATATGGTGTTTCATGGAAACAAATTGGGTGATTTCACCTAAAGTGATGTTCATGGAGCAGGGAACGTTACTTGGAGAAATTTTGTGTAAAGAAACAGCTTTCCTTAGGCTTAAGGCATAAATTTTCGTGTCTAGCATTTACTACTGTATACAGTATATGGCATAGAAGCATGTGTTGAAATAGTACAGGATGTAGTTAATATGAATATTTGTTACAATTACCGGTATGCGTGTAAGTAGTATTTAACAATTTAATTTATTAAAAAACAAATATACAATATAATATTATAACATGATATGTTCAGTACTATATATATATATATATATATATATATATATATATATATATATATATATATATATATATATATATATATATATATATATATATATATATATATATATATATATATATATATATATATATATATATATATATATATATATATATGCAAATCACTGTAGGTGCGCGTGATCTAGGTATATGCTGATAACCACAAGGAAAGAAGAAAACACGAAGTTCCCAAGCGCTTTCGTGTAATTCACAATAACTCGGATAAAGTGATAAGGCGTAATTATAAATTGATAAATATAAAGTTTTTCGGCATATTTCCTAAGACGTACATCTTTCATAAGGCAGAATTACAGAAACACCTATACTTTCAACCGTGACCCTATTTACAAATATAATTCATTGTAAAAAAAAATATCTAGTGCAGTATACTGTCTCCAAATATTAGAAAGTCGACACAGTGTTTTGCCCAATAGAATGAGTCGAGTGGTGCGCCCTCCCCCCAGCCTTCGCCTGCCGGCAGCGCCCCGCCTAAGAGCGTGCAGTGCGCCCACCCGCCTCTGTGCGATGCGCCCCGCCCAGCGAATCGCGCGCCTCCCGCCCTGCACGGTGCGCCCCCGCCTCTGAGCACGCGTACAGTATAAGCGGTGCGGTGCCTCCCCGCCCTCTAGAGAGCGAGCACGCACCCCCTAGAGCTGCCGCCTAGCAGTCGCCTCCGCCCCTAGGACCTCCCGAGCGTGAGCCCTGCCCAGCGAGTGCGCCCCGCCCTAGAGCGTAGTACGCGCCCCCCTAGAGCGAAAGCTGCGCGCCTCCGCCTAGAGCGAGTACGGTGCGCCCCGCCTCGAGACAGCACGTCATAGTCGCCTCCCGCCCTAGAGCCACAAGCGCCCCAGAGTATCGGTGCCTCCCGCCCCTCCGCCCTGGCCTCCCGCCTTAGAGCTAGACGGTGCGCCCCACCCCTCCGCCCTAGCAGTGGTGCCCTAGAGCGGGAGCACGGCAGATGGTGCGCCTCCCGCCTAGAGCAATGCGTGCGTGCTTCCGCCCTAGGCAGGCCGTGCGCCTCCGCCCTAGAGTAGTATGGTGCGCCCCGCCCCTAGAGCAGTATGTGCGCCCTGCCCCGCCCGGACGCGCCTCCCCGCCCTAGACGAGTATGGTGCCTCCCGCCCCAGGAGCCGCCTCCGCCCAGAGCCTAGCACGAGTATGGTGCGCCCCGCCCCAGAGCACCTAGAGAGCGAGTATGGTGCCCCGCCCGCCCTAGAGCGAGTATGGTGCGCCTCCCGCCCTAGAGCGAGTATGGTGCGCCTCCCGCCCTAGAGCGAGTATGGTGCGCCTCCCGCCCTAGAGCGAGTATGGTGCGCCTCCCGCCCTAGAGCGAGTATGGTGCGCCTCCCGCCCTAGAGCGAGTATGGTGCGCCTCCCGCCCTAGAGCGAGTATGGTGCGCCTCCCGCCCTAGAGCGCGCGAAAGTTGTTCAGCTGAGAATGTGATACTTATTACTGTTTTATACCTATATTATTTTCGTGTTTCCTCATAAGAAAAAGTAATTTGTTTTTCCCTCCATGATAATTTGCATCGAGCATATACTCTATTTATGAAAAAATGAAGGCCATCTTGTTATGACCAACTAATGGCGTTCAGTGATAAATGCAATCTGAGTTAATTTTGTCCATCAGCTGTGAGTTAATGTGTGTACTTTAGGTAATCGCAGTGCGGTTTTGATGTTATTCATGGACACTGCTTTTTCCAGTTAAGCATATTTTTACATCTTGAGTTACGATCTGGACCAAGGACATCAAAATCAGGATAACTTATTGACGGTTAGTTATTCCCATACCAGGTTTTCTGTCAATATCAACGAAATGAGTAAAGGGATATTCCTAACAAGCCTATTTAGTTTTGTAAACTCAATGCAAATGTCTTGATATCCTTAAGACCAATAACGAAATGTAACAAAATTAAATCATCCATGCTTGTATTAGTTTAAGTGTGTGCGTGTGCGCGCGCGTTAGTGTGTGCGTACGTGCGTTTGTGTGCGCGTGCGTGCGTTTGTGTGTATGCGCGTTCGTGCGTATGTGTGTTTACGTGTTCGTGCGTGTATATATATATATATATATATATATATATATATATATATATATATATATATATATATATATATATATATATATATATATATATATATATATATATATATATATATATATATATATATGCTGATAACCACAAGGAAAGAAGAAAACACGAAGTTCCCAAGCGCTTTCGTGTAATTCACGTGTGTGTGTGTGTGTGTTTATTTCATTATTCCTTACCTTTTATTACGTCTCCGTAGCACAAAATCCATGTTTGGTTTAAGGTGGTCTTCTGTAATCCAACAAAAGCTTGTAAATCCAAAAATGTTAGGTCATTACTGCCAAGGTATTACCCACTTTCCAAAATCTTACACATGTTGAAAGATTCCAGAAGAACATTGATAGAAGTCGACAGTGAAGAAGCAGTATTATCTCACGACAACACAGTTCACTCTCCATTCAGTACGCCTTGGTAGCTCAGAGTCCATCTGTACACTACCCGCACCGGGCCTCACGCGCACTTTGTGGCCGTGGCGGCGCGCAAATTATTGAAAAGAGACGGCCCTGAACTTGACCAAAGCCACCTTGACAACAACTTTCATTTCCTGGAATATGTTTGGGTGTTCCTAGAGTTCGTTTTCTTGACACAACATGATCCACAATTTGTCCATTAGTAACAGAACACACATTACGTCTTTCAATTTTATCTCGCTTCTTCAGGGTAGTTCTTTAGCACCAGAGCATACCTGTTAAATCGATCGATACAACTCACTGTATACTGATTTAATAAAACCAGTACTCAATTTTATAGATATGTGTTTTCCACGAGTAATTCTTATTTTAAGTTTATGCTTAAGACTTGAGCATGTTTGTGAAGCCTTATCATCTGTACCTGGGAGCTAGTACAGTACCAGGAACGGGCACCTCCGCAGTGGGTCACGCTACTCTGTTCTGAGAACTGTGTATGGTGGGTGTCGGCCGCTAGTACACACTCACATTGTGGTGATCATTGAAGAATTTATTTATTAACAATCTTCATTACTTTCTTAGATGAAAATTGTATTGAGATTAACATACCTATCTACGGTGCAGGTTTCTATATTTCTTTTGTAATTTACCACAAAAGCAATGTTACTAGTGATTGTCATCATAGATTATAATGATATAATCAACAAAGGTCAAGATTATCTAGCCTACGAAAGTCCAGTAGAGAGATTCAGGACGTTGATAACATTAAAGTTATTACCCAGTTTTTAGTGCCAGTGACTGACCACAATTTACAGGCTCCGAGAATTACGAAATGTTTATAATACCAAGACACTGTATATATTATTTAACGTACCACTCGTACAAAATCCTCGACAACTGATCCATAAATCTTCAAAACAAATCCCAGTGCACACGCAACATGTCCCAACTCGTGTTTGCTTCCTCGTGGATAGTTCCGGTTCTGGGATACAGTTCTTTATTCAGTGTGACGGAAGTTAGGTGTCCTGGCGTTTGGACATCCGGATATTAAGACCTTGTCCGTAAGTGTGGTTAGGAAAATAAAAATGACCATGCCTGAAGCATCTAATTTCACATAGGCTTACTGTCAACCAAAACAGGTCCCAGAAGCTAATGAAACTTAAAAGTGAGGAGCTCTCTTCTGTTTTAATCCTTAATCGTGTTCGTGACGCTGATTACATATCAGCGCTACTGCCAACACTAGGTTTAACTTTTTGATAGATCTTACGAGGTCATAGAAGGTCGCTAACCCGCTAGCGTGCCAGGAGCTTATTTGGATCCATAGCAAACTTCCGGTTAAACATCATTAGGCTAGGGGGTTGTTTCCTTTTTATGTGAACCTGCTGCTATATTGTCACAAATTGGAGGTGGATGACTTGATACACTTCTGATTAAAAAACTATCAAGTTACAATTTAATTTTGCCAAACTGTTTGTGTATGGTAAAGATTCATACGGGAGATGTACTGTATATCCATATCAAAACAATACAACGACTCATAATAAACTTCCGGTTATGCATTATTACGTTATAACAATCACACAGTTATTTTTTTTTTTACTGTTTTGTATACGTCACCGAAAAAGTTAATTCCTATGCTCAAAATTACCACATATCGCAACACTTATCCAATGTATGCAATAAATGTTAGATATGATAGGCAATTAATTCAGTAGACTTTAATAATACCTCAAACTTCGCTGGTTAATTTATCAAGGTGAAGGTTATCGTTTTCTACCACAGATTAACCCGTGGCAGATCAATAATGGGTTTCTAGGTAACAATTATCCTCGTGAGTTGATGCGCTTTTGTTTACAAGGCACGAATGAAGTTACTCCTTACTCGCAGTATATCTTATCAGTATTCAAGTCACAGTCAACCAGTATTAACAACACAACAACAGCCTAGT